GGTCACAAGAAGTCTGCTTCTTCCGCAGAAATCGCCAAGGCTCTTCCCGCTGGCATGACAGGATTCGGAGTTTCCAACAGCCAGGTCACCGAAGTTATCATCATCTGGGCGAACCCCGGTGCCGGTGCGCCTACGATCAACATCAACCCTCCCGCCGGCGGTGCTGCTGCTCCTCCCGCTGCCGCTCCTCCCGCCGCTGCTCCTCCTGCCACTCCTCCCCAGCCTCCTGCTGCTGCTCAGACTCACAACGTAAGTTTTCAAAGTCGGATCTCATGAGATCCAAGTCGTTGACTCTGGTTTTAGGTTATGGTCGGTGGTGCCGCTGGTCTCGTCTTCGTTCCCGATCAGATCAAGGCTGCCGTAGGTGACATGGTTGTCTTCACTTTCATGAGCCAGAACCACACCGCTACGCAGTCCTCCTTTGCGAAGCCTTGCGATCCCCTCGCCGGTGGTATGAACTCTGGCTTCATGGCCAACCCCAACAACACCGTCAGCCCGCCTCCCCAGGTTGCCATGCAAGTCATGGTCTCTGACCCTTTGTGTAAGTCTCCTTGCTCACGTCTTGCCTCCATCTCAACTAACAAGTCCCGAAGGGTTCTACTGCGCTCAGGCCAACCACTGCGGCAAGGGAATGACCTTCTCCATCAACCCCACCGCCGAGAAGTCCCAGGCCCTGTTCCAGTCTATGGCTATCCAGCAGAAGGGCAACGGAGCTCCCAGTGCCATCGTCGGCGGCACTCCCCCGGCTGCCGCCCCCGCTGCCTCTGCCCCCGCTGCCTCCGCGCCCGCCGCTGCGCCCCCTGCCGCTGCGCCTCCTGCCGCTGCTCCTGCCGCTCCTGCTGCCGGTGGTGCCGTTACCCCCGGCACTGGCCAGATCAACGGCGCCGGTGCTTGCGTCTGCGCCGTCACCTGCTCAGCTGGCTCTTTCCCCGCGGCCGCGCAAGGCGTTGGTGCTTTCGGAGGCATGGCAGGCTCTCTCCCCATGAACATGATGGAGGCTTAAAGGATAGACGGAGGAATAGACACCTAGTCGTGCACTCCCCCGCTTCCTTAGTAGTCCTATTATATTCATACCAAATCCGGGAAAGATTTAACCTGTTTTATTACCCACTCCGCTGGGAACGATACCACATATCCGGAGTTGTTACTCATTAGGGGGCTTCACGACCTTTTTTTTCTCTTTTCTTTTTTTTTCTTTCTCATCACATGTAGATTTCTCTTTTGTTGGTTGTGGAAGACGGAAGTACAAAAAAGAGCAGGATATAGTCCGTTAGCCTCGATCGACCTGGAAGGTTGTCGAGGCGGATTTGAACTCTTTTGTTGTTTTTGGGGGAGCCCGCCCCGTCTTTGGTCACTGTCCAGCTCCAAAAGGTTGGACGATAGACGAAAGGCAAAGGAAGGAATCCAGGAGGGGTTTAGGGGATAATTACAGAGTATGACTGGTTCGTATTTCCTGGATGGAAAACCGTTTTTTGTTTTCGCAACCACTTAATAGGAATCAATAAATGGATGATGAATGATCACGCTCAAAATATTGGGTCCTTTTCCGTTCCTCGAATACGTGAATGCCAAGATGGAAAACAGATTACGAGTCAATAGTGAACTGGGATGACTGCGAACTGGAGATGAAGGGGTTATGGAAGGACGGAGATCCGAGATGTTCTGCTACGACTGGCGAGGTTTGATCGGCCGTCAACGTGTGGCCCGGGCTGGGTCCGCGGAGGACCGCGAGACAGGAAGAAAAGAGTGGGGGAGCCGTGTTTCCCGGTTGCCTGCGCCGAAATGATTCAAAGAGCATGACCTGCTACTCTGTGGACGGATGTCGGTGTCGTTTGGAGGGTCCGTGTTTGCTCCAGGTGAAGTATTCTTGATCGTCCCAATTCGTGGTCTGACATCTGAATGTGCGATGCTGACCGACTGACTGACATCTGACAGCTGCATCTCCGGTTTCGCGTGGTTGCAGACAGAGCGCACGTAGCGAGGTTCGGAACTGCTACCAAAAGGGATGGAAAAAATACTTCAAAAAGCGATTCGAACCCGGAGCCTCTAGCGCCGGATAAGCATGATCTATCTCTGTGTTTCAGCTGGTATAACTGCTTCAAGTCAAGGACACGATGCACAAGCGGCAGAGTGAGTGATGGAGAGAGAGAGGCCAAAAGAGCAGGCAAGTCCCCCGTGTTTTGAAGTTTGGTAGGTACTGTGTGTTTAATGTAGTGTGTGTGTGTGTGTGTGTGTGTGTGTGTGTGTGTGTGTGTGTGTGTGTGTGTTAATATCCGCCTAAAGCACGCCGAATGCACCTCCGTCGCCACCGCCCCTATAAAGACGCCCATGAATTCCGTTTGCAAGTCGCAGTTGATGATTGTTTGTGTGAGTGTGTGTATCTGTGTGTTTCGGCAGTCTGTTTCTCCCCCCCTTTTCTCTCTCGCAATAGCACATCTCTTGGATGCACCCTGACGATAAGGCCGATACCCGTCTTCCCGAAAGATCGTCAAGACATGGAGCTGACTCATCTCACATGCCTTTTCGGGGCAGGTTGAAGCGAGAGATGAGCTTTGCATGTTTGATGAGCCGGCCCAGGTGATGAGCCGGCCCAGGAAGACAAGTGCGTCAGGTTCAAGAGAAAGATATAGCGAGAGGAGCCGGGCGATCAAAAAAGACTGCCTTTTTCCGCTGCTAAGATTTACTTCTTCCCACCGCCCCCGGCAGCAGCAGCCGCCTTCTTGGCCTCAGCTGTAACGAGATGGTCAGCATGTTGTCTGGTCATATTCCCTCGGCTCCGATCACACAAGTGAATGGTCTCCGTCGTCGCAGAGACCCCCAAGATTCTGCCGAACAGAAAATAAGGGGCGGGCGGTGGAAGAGGCGGGAAAGACTTACATGCGGCCTGCTTCTGCCTCATGATGTCGGCAGCGCTCTCCTTGGCGCGCGCAAACTCGGTGCCGCTCATGGTGTTCTTCGTCTTCTGTTGCGTGGGGAAAAAAGACTACGCATCAGCATTCTGTTGCACCCTTTTACCGGCTAACACAGCGATCTCTTTTCGCTCACTCATCCATCCACACGGTCGAATCAGCTCCAGAAACCGTCGAGGTGCTCAGTGGAAAACACTTTTGAGAATTGAAGGTCCATCCCTCTTACTAACGCTGGAGCTGATTCAACCGGACCGGATCGGGTGTCGTGAGCAAGTCGGGTGAGCAAGTCGGGTGATCGTCGTTAAGCCAACCGGCCGACCGCGAAACGTAAACACGCCCCCAGAAAAAAAAGTACTCACCGCTCCGGCAGCCTTCTTCTGGGCCGCCTCGCGGGCCTTGTCGCGCTGGTTGCCACGGGTCATTTTGTCAAGATGAAATTAGAAGCGTACGCTGGGAAATGCGAAAAGGATGTTGCAGTGCTGCTGCGTAGAGTAGTCTGGTGTGTTCGCTGACAAGAGGGAAAAAGAAGAAAAGAAATTCAAAAAGGAGGCCTGCGCTGAGGTCTGGCCTTTTTTTTCTCCCCCCAAGGTGCTGGCTGGCCCGCGCCCGACCAACGAAGTTTGCCGCAAAACAATGAGGCTGTGCCCACTTCCCACGGCGTCAGCCGCCTGCCCTCACTGAAAAGAGTGTCCGTCCAGCGCGGTCACTGTTCTGGAACGCACCTACTTCCCGTGCCGTGGGGGAGGGAGGGGGTTCGTGGGTTTGGCCAATCAGAGGGCATCTTGATGGAGTTTGTTTCGCTTCACATGCTCCACTCTTCGGATCCTTACCTTCCCCGTCTCATCGGGTCAACGTGGTCCAGCCACGGCGCCTGCAGACATCGTGATAGGCGCCAAAAATAAACGCTTCCATTCACGGATTCTGGGCATAGTCACACATCACGTCGGACAAAATGAACACACTAGTTGTTAGAGATCTTTTCTTGATCTGCCTAGATACATGCGTGGCCGTAGGATGCTGGGTGTTTGCTGAAGAGCGTACGCACTTCCAGCCAAACCCCATACACGTCATCCCCGCCGACCGAAATGCAAAGTAACGCCAATTTTCATCCCTAGAGGTCTCTTACAAACACACAAGAAAGCCCTCTCTAATCGCTTAAGCTCGCTCGATCCCGTCTCAGATAACCTCCTTTGATATGTGAGGGCCCATGTCCACCACCCTTGCCAAAATCGTCCTCCCAATCAGAATAGCCATGAGAGTATCGGTAGCACATGCCGAGAACGAGAAACGCGATACGCAAGCCGCTGCGAGAAGAGAAAGAAAAAGACTGCCCCCCCGATGCTATCATGTCTCAACGCTCGCCCCTGTGCAATGCATACGCAGTCAGGCTGCTCCAGTACCATCCGGAGTAGCCTCCAGACTCGCTGACAGAACGAAATGGAGAGATCCTTCGGAAGAATGAGAGCTGACGCCATAAACGTGTCGTTGCATCTCATGATCAGCTTCGTTATGGCATGTCGTGTTGGAAATTAAGCCGATGTCATCGTAAGTCCGATCCAATCGTGATCCAAGTTGATAATACCTGGAAAGCGAGCGTAACGAATCGAAGTGAAGAAATAAAAAACCGCAGACAAAAACACAAGAAAGAGAATATGAAAAACGTTCGTCTATGTCGATGTCCGCGTCAAGTACAAGCCTATTGAAGGCTCCGTCTGATCTGGTGACGGCTGCCGAGAAGCAGAATGCGATTCTTGTGTTTGTGCTGCGAATGCCGTTGGCATTCGCTGCCCGAATCCATAGTGTACACACAAAGCAGGTCTTGCAACCAGATGCAAGCCCGCCGTGCTTGACGGATGAAGAGGTGATTGTGGGTTGCGATTTGTATGTTGGTGGGGGTTGAGTTTTTGATGTTTGCACAGACAGTGAAGGAAAAGTGATCGTCAAGTCGTTGCTGCGTCGTCGCGGTGCTGTGTTCGAAAGAAGACCGTTGCGGAAAGCATCATGCCGCCCATGAGATTCGTCGTCGAGTGCCCGCATCACATTTCATGCCATTAGAAGTGGAATCCCACGTCGACAACGCGTTATGTACAATTACAGCCACTGGGTCTCGCCGCCGGCGCCAGCGTCAGCAGGACCGTTTCCCATGGTACGCGGCTGCTGGTTGTAGCCGTACTGCTGCATGCGCTGGTTCTGAGGAGGAGCCGGGGGAGGCACAGTGATGTTGGCGGGCGTGGGGTAGCTGGCCTGCGCGCCGCGAGGGGCCATGCCGCCGTTCAGACCGCCATTCAGACCGTTACCGAAGCCTCCGCCAGGAGCAATGACAGAGGTGGTGTTGGACATGGCACGGTTGTGACTGGGACGAAGGGCAATCTGGCCCTGGCTGGCGTCCGCAGGAGTAGTCTGGCCGCTGGAGGTAGCACTGCTGCGACCCTCGAAAGCCTGAATCTTGGCCTGAATGCGACGTCCGTAGGGGGTGGAGCGAATAGACGGTAGGATGGGCCGAATGGCGTCGACAAGACGGAACTTGCTGTGGGGAGTCGCATACTCGAGGGCGGTCTGAATGACATAGTTCGCGTAAGAGTCGCGGAGCAGACGCTCAATCTCACCAGGAGTAAGGAGCTCCTCGACGATCATGTCGCGAGAGGGCTCCTGGGAGCAGCGCAGGCACTTCTCAATGACGTTGGAGCTGAACTTGTGGCGAGACAGCTGACCGATGCGGTTCTTGAACATGCGGACGATAGGCTCAGTGAAGGAAGGCTCGTTGAGGTCGATGATGTACTGGACCACATAGTTTCCAAAGGGATCCTGAACCAGAATCGGGGCGTGCTCGGTGATCTTAGAGATGAGCCAGACCTTCTGGTCGCCAGAGGCATGGTCAATGCAGCGCTGGAGGACACAGCAGCCGTGACGGTGAGTACCGACGTCAACGCAGTTGGTACCGACAGCGTCGAAAATGAACTGCGCGTCCTTGGCACTGAGCTTGTTAAGACACTTCTGAATGACGTGGTTGCCGTTGAGGTCCTGAATAAGCTCGACAACCTGGTAGCGCAGGGCATTGATGATCATCTCGATCTGGGTGGAGGTGGTGACGAATTCAATCATCTTCTGCAAGGCGCGAGTGCCGTGCTGGTTGAGAGCAATGCGGACCATGTCGGCCGCGGCATTCTGGATCAGGACGGTGCGCTCGTCATCATTGCAGTACTCCAAGAGCTTCTGGCAGAGGTAGTTGCCAAAGGGGTCGGTCATGAGCTCAATGACATGCTGGTTGGTCTCAAGCCAGATCATGTGGACCTGCTCCGGGTTGCGCTCCTCGAGCTTCTTTTGCAGATAGCGGCAGCCGTGCTGGTCCTTGCAGAGATCGTAAATCTGACCGCCCACGTTCTCGAGCGCGAGGCCGTTGTAGCGTGACATCGCTGAAACTAGTTAGCATGAAGGGTCAGGATAAGATACATTAAGAGAAAACGTACCCTCGTTATCCATCTGGCGGCGATGCTGGATAACTCGAGCTTGGCTGTCGCGAGGCTGATGCTGCGGGTTGTAGAGAGCGCCATAACCAGCATAGTTCTGGGCAGGGTACATATTGTTGCCGCCGAGGTTCATGTTCTGCATGCCCATGGCCAAGATAGGAGGCATGCCGTAATGTCCAGGACCAGAGGTGGGAGGGCCGGGAGGACCAGCAGGGCCAGGGTTGCTCGGGGAGACGTAGCCGTTGGGATAGAAGTTGCCGTAGGTGTTGTTGGGTCCGGCAGTAGGAGCAACGTTGGGAGCCTGGTTGCCCTGAGAGGTGTGGGGGAAGCCTGGACCCGGAGCACCAGGGCCGAAAGGAGCGGCATTGGCCTGAAGAGCAGACTGAATGGAGGGGAAATGACTGGGCTGCTCACGGGGACCGCCCATGTTGTTGTCGCTGGACAGCTCGCGACTGTGACGGCCCGGAACAGCACCGGCAGGAATGCGACCAATGCTGGCGTTGTGGTTGTGAAAGTGCTGCTGGGCGTGGTTGTTGGTCACAGAAGCGTTGTTGGTGCTCTTGACGGTAGGGATGTCGTTGGCAGAGAAGGAGCTCTGCAACTTGGGAGGGGTGGCCATCATGTGGTTGGTCGGCGAGACAACGGAGTTCTGGTTGTCGGTAGGAGCGTCCGGGTAGAACTTGAGGTCGAGCGAGTGACGGGCGTTGGCTCTGTTGCTGATTTCGCCAGACGAAGCGGCTCCGTTGAGCGAAGACGTGTTGATAGCAGACAAGCTCTGTTGAGTTCGATGACGGTTAATATGGCCCCAACCGTTCGTGGGAGGCGCGTCGGGGGCAGGCGAAGGAGAGAGGGCAAGATCAAGGGCAGCGGAGGATGCAGAGAGCTACACGACCAAACAATGTCAACGCTGAACAGATATTGACAATTTGTGCTGTAACGAAGTCTGTGTGTCGACAACGAGGTGATGTTCTTGCAAAACTCCGACCTTGAGGTGAAGGGGAGGGAGGTGATGGGGGAGAGCGAGTGTTTACTGTAAACAGAGGGAGGACGGAAAGGTGCGTAAGGTGGGAAAAAATTCTTTTTTGATACAGAAATTTTCCGAGAGGAAGAAGGCAAGGAAAGGTGCAAGTGGAGGTGGAAGGAAAGGCGGGCGGGGTGAATGGGATGAATCAAGTTGAGGTTGGGAAGCTGCGGCGGTTGCTTGCTTGCTGCTCGCTCCTTCCCGATGCTATTTCAACCTCACTTAACTCACCAGCCAATCATGACCAGGGCAGTGGCCAATCAGGCACACTGGCTTGCTACTTGCTCTGGGGGGGGAACTCGATGATGGATGGATTTGGGAAAAAAGTAGGGTAACAGAGCAAACCAGAGTCAGACTTACCATTTGGTCGTCGCGGCGCACCAGCGTGGGGAAGTTGTCGTCAGTGCCGTGTCCGTACTTGTGCTCGCCAGAAGCGTCCTCCTCGCCGAAGAGGAATCGAGCAGTGCCGGTTTGGTCGAGGTCAGAGCCGTACAAGCCAGTGCGAGATCTGGTGACAGGCATGGAGTAGCGGTTGTAGCTGTTGTCAGAAGGTTGAGAGTCAGCCATTGCCCAAGAGGTGAAGATGCCTGTGGTAAGTTTCTTGGACAAGTCGGGTTGTTTCGTTTAGAAACAAGTGAGAAAATCTGGAGAAACAAAAGCTCTTGAAATAAATAGCCTTGGAATCCCGACCGAAAGGAAGCTATTGATTGTGAAGTGAATTTGGAACGATGAGTTTGAACGGGTTGAAGATTGGGTAGGAGGCGCGATCGAAAGTTGAGAGTCGAAAGGTAGGCGCGGAAGTTGTAGTTAGAACGATAAGTAGTTGGAAAGGTAGTTGCGAGGCGCGCAGGTGGATAATAGGCAGGCGCGCAACTTTGGTTGTGAAGGCTGGTTGTGGAAGTGAAAGGGCTGTTCACAAAGTTGCCAGGTTGGGTGAGGTAGAGAACCTAAAAGCCCGGTGGAGCGTTCGTTGTGAAGAAGGTGTGAGGTAGTGGTGGGGGACCTCGAGGGTTGATGTGATGAGTCGAGGTTTTTCAAAGACGGATCCTGAGTTTTTGTGTTGTGGAGGCCAGACAACTGAGTGTAGAGCAACTGCAGGAAGGAAGCGATCCACTGCACCCTTGAGTCGCAAGAGCTCTTCCGAAGTAGCAAAGTCGATAATTCGACTGCAACACCTGCCCGCCCACACAACAAACCAAATATCTCTCGGCGCAGCCAATGGTAAGTGCTGTCGGAGCTCCAGATTTTCATACTTACGACTTGTCCAAGAAAACAAACACATGCACGGATTACAGCACTTACGCATTAGAGGACCGATGGCTGGTCGGGTCCTGACGCACAGCTTCCTCCTTCTCGTCTTCGTCGCTGTTTCTTCGAGAGCCGGGGACAGACCGGGACGGGAGATGCTCATCAAAGCTGAAGCGAGACTGCTGCATCAGAGTCGCTTGAGGAGAGGTGAGCTGCGATCCCGAGCGGCCGGGACGGTTGAACAGGCCCGGGGGAGAGGTCAGGCTAGACGTCGAGTAACGGTTCGGGCGCGAGAACATCGTGGGGAAGCCTGACGACTCGTGGTATTCGGGAGGCGTCGTCGGTTCCGACTGGTGACCCTGGCGCAGGTCATCCTGCATCTTGGCAAGCTCCATCTCCTCGCGTCGCTGCGCCTGCTCCAGCTTCTGCATCTCGAGTTCGAATCGGCGTCTCTGCTCTCGGAGTCTTTCGTATTCGAGCTTCTTCTTCTCAATCTGGCCCGAGAATTAGTATCGCCACCAGTCGAATGCAGCATCGCGCCGTCATCGGGCTGCCGCTTGCCGTCGCGGAAGCTCGGGGCGGGAGGGGAGGTCCACGAACCAATTGAACCTTGTGCAAAGTCTGTTAATTCACTTGTCAGCCCAAGTCTACCTTGTGCACCGACGGATGCGATGGCAACAAGGGCATCGCAATGGCAATCCGGCGAGTACTGCGAGTGCCATGCACAGAGAAGACGACGTACATTGTAATCATTGCCCATCTCAGGGCCGCGCTGGTTGGTAATAGACGACAATGTTGGTACACGCCCCGAATCGGTGGTGAAGCGGCGGGGCAGAGCGCCGCGCCCATCGTGAGCCTGAACAGGCTGGGGCATGCGGCTGCCGTTCCGCGGAGGTGAGACAAGCGTATTCATCGTGGGCTCGTTACGCGGGGGCTGTTGGGATCGAAATCGCAGGTCGTCCATGTGGCCGTCCGGTTTACTCCAACTCGTACACGGCACGAAGGGGCCAAGTGGCGATGGCGTTCTATATTACTGCTGGCATCAAGTACGGCCGGCGGTCAGCAACAAATACATGGAGAAACTGGATTGATAAACGAGAACGCTGCAGGCTGCTGCGAATCTGAGTTGGAGATGGCAGCCCACGATAACAAGAAACACAGAACAGAGCGAGGGTTTGGCGAATTTGAAAACAAGGAAAATCGGAGGCGGGGTGCGGATCTGGCGAACTAAAAGTGACGGGACTGCGTTAAGGTTTCCAGGTCGGGTTGGGTTGGTTGCTGGTCAGGGGGGTTGCTTTTTGGTCTTCTCCAAAAGCGGGCGGTAGTCGGTGAAGCCCTGAAAGACGACCGTGAGGATGAACGACATCCAGGGCCGCCGGGGAAAAACCAACGTCAAGTCCAGCAGAGAGCGCTTGGAGAGGGCTAAGCAGCGTGAGACCCCAATGTCTCGCGTTGCAGCTCCCGTCTCCTCTGGTGTGTCTCTTTGAATCGCAAACCGAAACCGTCCCAGTCCTTGCTTCTTCGTCGTCCTCCGCGCACCCCTACCTCGTTCTTCTCATGTCTGTCAAGCAACAAACCCCCAGCCGTGCCGAGATGCGATATGGCTTTGCGGGTGCTTGAGTCGGGTTTGGCTGCGCATCTGAAAGCCCTCCCCCCGTCTAGGTGCATTTGCCGTTGCAATGGCCTGCTGGCAATGAAGGGAGGACAGACACGTTTCTGTCTCTCTGTCTTTCTCTCTGTGTAGATGTGTTTCTTGTCGCCGTGTCGCGAAATTGCTCCCTCAACGCGCAGGATGCAGGATTGCGAACGCATAAAGACAGTAAATGGACCAGAGACTCACGTTTTTCTTCTTGCCCGCGTCGGAACAGAGTATACACTCGGGATATAGTCTCACACGTCGCGCCCTGGAGAGCCAGGAGCGGCAGTCTGGAGAGGGTTTGAAATACACGGACACACAAGATGGTGTACAGAGAAGAGACTGGACAAGAAACCCGACATACGTGGGGAGAGACGAGAGCAGCAGGTTTGGAGCATAAGAAGGTAATGTATCGTTTTTGGGTGTGGGAGAGAAGCACGGTCGAGAGGGCGTGGCAGGCCAGCCGGCGGCCCAAGATACCCCTGCGCCGTCGACGGGGGTGAAGGGGTTTTGACGGGGCCACCATCGCAAAGAGGAACCACAGAGAGGAACCACAGCATCTCACTCGCCCGCTCACTCGCTCGCTCTCTATATTGCTGCCGCTGGACCTGGGGCTGGGGGCCCAAGGGACCTGGCAACTTCCCCCTCCCCTCCTCCTCCTCCACTCTCCTGGGCTCTCAGTGACTGCCCAAAGCTGCCCTAGCCTTCCTCACTGCAGGCTATTCGTAGGTAGAGCACGGGTTTGAGGTACCTACCTGCCTCGCAAGCAGCCAAAGTACCTGGCAGCACATTGCGGGTTGCGTTACGACACCCTGCCCTGTCTTGGTCCGCGCAGCATCCAACGGGTTGAGTGCCGCCGTACCTGTCCAGGTTTGAGCCAAGGTTGCAGGCACCCAGAGCAGGTACAAAGTATGAACAGCACCGGCACAACTTCATATGCAGTGGCCGCGGTGTTGCGCGCATGTGGCAGTGGCAGATGCTGGGTATCTGGTGTGGATGGTATCCTGACGCAGCGCGGGCAGTTTTGGCATGCCTTTTCATCATTCCCAGAAGAGTAAGACAGCCAGTGGGAGACAAGGTACGCCGCCCAGGTACCCTGTCCAAACCGTCCCGCTACCGCAGCAGCACCAGCGCGCAGGTGGGCGAACATGTGTGGTTGCACTGGTGACTTGATCTCGGATACCTTTCAGGTACACGAGTCTATGGTGGGAGTTGCGGAAGAGATCTGGTTCTGTCTTGTTGCCTTGCTCTGAATGCTGTTTTGCTGATACTGACAGCTGTATCGACAGCAACTGCGAATCAGGCTCACACGTAACGTAGCTCTTAATTCCCTTCGTAGGCCATTGAGTCTCGTGGGCATCTGACTTTGAACCTCTGCGAAACCGATGTCAATGGCGAGCAAACCCAGTCACATCGCTTCCACCCCTCCGTCCCCTTCGTCTTTTTCTTACCCCCTCATCCCCTCCCATCCTCTGCCTAGGTATTGCTGAGGGGCTGGTGCACTAACAGCCAGAGAAACCGCCGAGTCTAGCAGGTCGGAGGTCGGAGGACCTCCGTACTAGGCCCAGTCGATGTTCTCCTTCCGCTTTCCTGTCAGGGGCGCTGTCTCCCCATAGCGACATGCAGTGGCTGGCCCACTATCGACGCTTGTCAACCTCAGAAGGATACTGAGAGTTGACCACCACCAGTATGGCCTTTTTGTCAGTGCATCGCAAACTCTATCTCGGTCTGACAGGAGGCCCGAGATCCGCAGAGTTCAAGGGCGTGTTTGCGTTTCCACATTGTTTTCCGGTCAGCCTCGACGAGATTGTCACCGCTCTTCTTCATTTTGGTGCTTGACTTTTGTCGAATTGGCAATCTGCGAAGTAGGGCTCGTCGCTTTGGGGATTCCCCTGCTCATGATTCGTTGTCCCGCCTCTCCTTCTCGGTGCAAAGCAACCTCCAAAACCAAGGATTCGCATGTCTCTCAGGCGGTGTAGCCACAGCCTGTTCGCTGTCTTTTTGTAGCTTGCTATTGACAACAGGTCTAGCGACAGTGTCTGTGTGCCACGCATAGCCTGCGTCGCATTGCCTTCGGGACTTGGATAACCCTGTGTGGGTGACAACACACTCCCCCGGATGGGGAACATGAGAAGAAAAAATGCATCTAGAAGAGTTGGGGATTCTGCCAGCCTCTTTTGCATTCTTGAGTTGGTTCGATATATCCACCAAAAGGAGTATCTCGCTCGTAACAGCCAGTCATCCAAAAATCGACTGCACACCACGGAGCAGCCAGCCCATGTCCGTGCCACGGTTATCGAAGATCTGCCTGATCGAGTGGACAGACCGGGGCTGCCCAAGAGCGAGATGCGCGCATGGGTACGTGAACGACAAGTTTCGTTTGCCGCTCCAAGCCCCGTTATTGGTTTGCTCTGGCAACAACGAATAGTTAGTAGAGTGATTCCCGCGTTGTGAGTAGTAGCGCAAAGGCGACAATGATACACCCATCCATCTAGTCTCTGCCAATATGACAACGACCGGAACCTCAAGTACTTGAATATCATGACACCAGACGCAGAGTTACCTGGGCCACATACCAGACCTCGCGGGCACAAGGACGGTCTTGAGAAGTGATCTTTGATCCAATTGGTCCGCTAATCGACAACTTGGTCCCGAGGATACCATTCCGCAACGTTCCTACATCGCAAACCGGCACTGGGTTGCAACCCGCCGTCGGTGAGCTGCGGGACGGGGCTTCAGGAGATTGCTCGAGCTTGAGAAGAAGGTTCACCCTTGCCTTGCCATTACCATGCTCCAACGCATTCCAACTGCTGTTTTCCCACTTCTGTTTTTCTTCGCCAACTCGCTGGCAAATAAACAGGGTCTTCCCGACCTGTGATTCCGCCTGGGCTGGGTAGCGCACGAGCACCAGCCGCTTGTAAGACTAAGTCTCAGGAAGTATCTTCTCCAGCATCACTCGAGTTTCCAACTACGAGGTGACATGCATCGCAGCGGACAACCAACGGCCAAGGCTGCATGCAAAACACTCCCTGCCCGTCAGTACATACATGAGGCTAAGAATTGTGGATTGGAGCTAATTCTTGAAGTCTCCGGATGGATACGGTCTTGCGAGAGTTGAGAGACGACCACCTGATGTAGCCATGCAGCCTCATCCTCAGCACAACTCTAATAATAATAATGGCCTGTTTAAAGACCTGCGTGGTCTGCCCCGCGATTTGGGCGCGTTTGCTACCGCGGGACAGGCCTCTCGATGCGGCAGCATCTTGGGTCGTGGCCGGTGGGCTTGGGAGGGTCGCGAAGTGACTTGCATCTTCCCACTTCCCACACGACAGCAGGCTTGTCACGACCCATGCTTTGGGGGCAAAGGACCCAGAGACTTCGTCATAATGCCGCCGAGGCCTTTTCAGTGTAGTCTTGGAGTCACCTGTCCCGAGGTGAAAATAGCAGTGCAAGATACTGATTTGTTGGGCTGCAGGCATGGGCGTTCGGAGGCCTTCAGCGGCTCCGTTCTACACCGACTTTTGAGGCCCGCATTGAGTGGACTGTCTGCGAGTCTGCGACAAAGCAGGCGTAGGCCGCGGGATTGGTGTGGAAAGTGACCAGACTCCGGACTCCAGACTCGGACTGCAGTGACTTTTCCAGATCGACCCTGGAGCAGGTGTGGAGAGGTATTCGCTTTGTACCGAGCTCGACTGGTGGACATGTAGAAGTTGGCTGCAGGCGGTTGAAAGCGCTACTCTCAAGCTCTCAAGCCGCTGGCTCTGATCGCGGAGGGACCTGGCTGTCGTCCCATGTCACTTGCAGCATGCCGGCTGACGGATGCCAGTCTCGCAGTATAGGCAAAAATGGCCTAGGTGATGGGCTAGAATCGCTGGGCAATGTTCCATCTGCCACTTCCTGCGCTAGTTCGAGGAATATCGGCTTGACGATCATTTAGCTCGGATACTCCCTCGCCACCCCTTTTTCGAGCGTCAGTCCTTTAGTCGCTGATGAAAGGCTCCATCAGGCAAAAGCGGCAAAGCCCTAGCCTCTGGTTCAATCGTCACCCGTGTCGCGATACCCCAGTGCCTGCTCAGCGGCAGGGCCCCTCTCCAGTTGTAGAGGAAGAGGTTGGACCCTCGGTGCGCCGCAGAGTTTGGGGCCGCAGGTCGTGACTCGCGGTGTTGGCTTGTTGCATCATAATTGGCAGCCCTGGCCAGAAGTCGACGCTGAGGGCGAACGATAGTATCCAGGTCAACGGCGCCTTTGGTGACGGCCGGCAGTACGCCACAGCAAACGATCTAAGGGTTTTCTTGTTCGGGAGCATGCCGAGGGTGTCAAACGTTTCTCTTGTTTTGTATTTGGCTTTGCGCCCCCCGATGCGATTGTCCAGCGTATGGTTGGTGCAATAAAGGGACATGCAGTAGCTTAGATGCGAAGGAGGGCGCATCGTCGTCGCGGGGCAGCTTCACCACCTAACCGATCAGGACCTGATATCTGGAGACGAAGAGGGGGCGATTGCGATTGCGGTGATGGACAGCGACGCGACTCGACTTGCCACACTTATTCTCCTCTGCCAACGCAACATGCAGACGGCGCTGCCGCCGCTGCATCACATCTGCTGCGGGTCGTACACAAGGAAACCCTGCGGGGAGCATTCTGATCCCTTGCTGTGTGACGACAGACTCAGGGCGGCGGATGTCAGAGGTCAGCGACTGGTAGGGGCCGTTGGAGGCGAGCCAAGGCAACAATAGCATTGATTGACGCTTGTCTTTGTTTGCTGATGTCGTCTTTGTTTGCGGGTGAGCCTTTCTGGTTCAAGAGCGTGCTCGTCATTCCAATGTGTCTCTGCGCTAATAGCGGCAAATGCGAAGAATCAATTAGACAGGCGCATTCCAAGGGAATGGCTCAAGTGAGGGGTGACGAAGACAGGCCTGTCGTCCGAGCAGAGTGGGAGGGGTAAAGTAAGAGGTAGAGAGGAAAGATGCTGGATGGCGGGGCCTGCAGGAAGCGCCCAGGGCACTGTCACCATCTTGCTGCCCTCCCCCCCTGTTGGCTCGGCTTTCCCACCTACGAGAGGCCCTGGAAAAGAGAGAAACCCCCACCCCTTGCTGGCATCGTCAACCGCTTGAGGCAAGAGACCTTGTCAAAATGCCTTACCCTTTATCAACAAGTGTTTGAGTGCTTGCGTGAAACGGATTACTTCTAGATCTGGCAGAATCTTCATTGGGACTAGGTAAGGAGGGAGGCATGCAAAGTCGCGCGTTCGCGAATATCCACTTTGTCAGTCAATTAATAAAACGTGCGCCATGTTGGTCATTCCGAGCCTGCTCAACTGCGATGCACGATGGATGCACGATGCGCACAGTATGGCTCTCTGCCGTTTACCTCCCGGATGACTATTGCTGTCACGGCTCGACCCAGACTTGAGGACCGCAGAAACTGAGCCCACCGGTGAAGCGATCTCTCGAGAGATGACCTGGCAATTTCTCAACGACCATTCCCTGGAGCATCACACCACTATGGAACCTTCCATGATATGTTTTG